ATCTGACTGTGTGGAATATAACAAGTTATGGCTGACACTGAGAAGAATGGGAATCCCAGAGGACTTCATTATGCTCACGCAAAACCTATACCTGGACCAGGAGGTTGTGTGAACAGAGCAGGGAAAAACTGCATGGTTTAAAATTAAAAATGGAGTGCATCAGGGTTGTATTCTTTCTCCATACCTGTATGCTGAGCATATTATCCAAGAAGCTGGACTCTATGAAGGGTAATGTGGCATCTGGATTGGAGAGAGACTCACCAATAACCTGCATTATGCAGATGCACAACCTTGCTTGCTAAAAGTGAGGGAGACTTAAAAGTATTTGTTGCAGAAGATCAAGGAATGCAGCCTTCATTTATGACTTGCATATTAATGTCAAGAAAACAAGATTCTTACCACTTGACCAACAGGTAACATAATGATGGATGGAGAAGAGACTGAAATTGTCAACTTCACCTTACTTGGATCCAAAATTAACATCCTTAGTATCAGCAGTCAGGAAATAAGGAGATACACTGCACCAGAAAAGCCTGCTGTTAGGGAACTCTCCAACTTATTATGGAATAATGATATAAATCTAGAGACCAAGGTGCACCTAATCTAGGCCATGGTCTCTGCAATTACATGATAAACATCAGAGAGCTGGACAATGACTAAGGATGACAGAAGAATTGATGCCTTTGAGTTGTGGTGCTGGAGAAGAGCATCGAACATACAGTAGATGACCAGGAGAACAAATAGATCTGTCTTAGGGAGAATAAAAGTTTCTCCTTAGAGATTAAGATTTTTTAAGTTCTGTCTCACATACTTTGGGCATGTGGTCAAGAGGGACCAATCCTAGGAGAAGGAAAGAGTGGAGGGACAGTGCAAGAGAGGAAGAAACTTGGATGAGAGATGGATTGACACAATAACTGGGGCAATGGGATTAGGTGTGTCATAGTCAGTGAGACTGGCTCAGGATAGGGTAGGGTTTAGGGCTGTCGTACATAGGGTTAATAGGAGTTTCAGGCAACTCAACGGCACATAACAACAACAACAACAACAACATTAGTTTGAGGACTAAAGTGGTTCTGATTCAGGCAATGGTCTTTCTGAACACTTGTTTATGCATCTGAGAGATGGATGAAGAAATAAATGACAGAAGAAGAATTGATGCCTTCGACCTATGGTAGTGGAGAAGAGCACTGAACATCCCATGGACTGCCAAAAAAAAAACCCAAACCAAATTAAAACAGACTTTCAAGGGGGGAGGAATAAAAAAGAAGAACAAACTGGGGAGGAGGATAGAGAAAATAGGGCAACAATGGATGAATGAAAACCCAAAATCTCTGTAAATGTTCATTAAAATGAATAAAATGTAATAATAATAATAATAATAATAATAAACCCAAACCAAATAACCACAACACCCCAGGGAGCTCTGCTGGCCTAGTGGCAAGAAGTTGTGCTGCAATTCCAAAGACATGTGGTTCTAATTTACTAGATCTCTGCTAGAGAAGGACAATCTCCTCCTATCCGATTCAACAGTACACAACAACAAAAAGCCAAACCAAACAAACAAACAAAAAAAAATCCAAATATGTCTTGGAGAGGGTGCAGCTGAAGTGCACTCTGAAGGCAAGGATGATGAGGTTCCTCGCCTCATATACTTTGCGCATATTGCTAGAAGGGGCTAATCCTCATAAGAGACATGATGCGTCAGAGGGTGGAGAGTCGGCAAAGGAGAGGAAGACTCTCAATCAGGTGGACTGCCACGGTAACTACCGCAATAGGCTCTACTGTGTCAGGAAGTATGAAGATGGCACAGGATAGGACAGGGTTCAGACTCGCTGTTCGAGTCGTACACAACTCAATGGGACCTAATAACTACAATAACAACAAAAGGAAATATATGTTTGTGCTCTTCATCAGATCCAGTCTAAAATGTAATAAAACTAGTAAGTTATTTAGATATATAATTCGAGTATGTGAAAGACAAACTAAGTAAAAATACAAAGAAGGTCTTTGACCTTCTGTAATAGTTTGCAGGTATATCCTAAATAGGTTAACTGTAAAATTTATCATCCAAACTTTCACATATTTTAAATGAATGGAGACATTATTAGTAATTAAGGAGTCCTGGTATCCTAGAGTGATATGTATTGGTTGGCTACCAGAAAGATTAACAGTTAGAATCCATTATTTGATCCTCAAAAGAAAGATAAGAAATCAAGATATTAAGGAGTTGAAAAGAAGATTTCAAAAGGCAGCATGGGAAGAAAAAGTAAAGTATTACAATGAAATGTGCAAGGAGCTGGAGTCAGAAAATCAAAAGGGCCGAAACTCGCTCAGCATGTCTTAAGCTAAAGGAGCTGAAGAACAAATTCAAACCTCAAGATGCAATACTTAGGATGCTTTGGGCAGAATATTAAATGATCCAGGAATCATTAAAAGAAGATGGGAAGAGATATAGAGTTATTGTATCAAAAGGAATTGGCAGACACAGAAGAATTTCATGAAACAAAATATGAGCAAGAGCTCATATTATGGTAATGAAGGAAGAAGTTCAAGCTGCTATGAAGGGATTGGCAAAAAATAAGGCCCCAGGAATAGATGGTATACCAGTTGGCATATTTCACCTAACAGATGCTGCCCTGCTTGTGCTCACCAAGTTGTGACAAGAAATCTAGAGGACAACCACTTAGCCAAATGTCTGGAAGAGATCTATATTTGCTCCCATTCCAAAGAAAGGTGATCCAACAGAGTGTGGAAATTATTGAACAATATCATTAATATCACAAGCAAGCAAGAGTCTGATGAAGAATATCCAAAAACGACTGGAATAGCACATCAACAGAGAACTGCCAGAAGTGCAGGCTGAGTTTAGAAGGGGTCATGGAACTAGGGATATTGCAGCTAATGTTAGATGGATCTTGGCTAAAAGCAGGGAGTACCAGAGAATTGTCTATCTGTGTTTCATTGATTATGCAAAGGCACTTGATTGTGTGGTTCCCAAAAAACTGTGACTAAGTCTGAGAAGAATGGGAATCCCAGAACACTTGATTGTGCTAATGAGAAACCTGTAACTTGGACCAGGAGTCAGTCATCAGAACAGAGCAAGGAAACACTGTATGGTTCAAAACTGGAAGGGTATACACCACGTATGTGTCCTATCTCCTTATCTTTTCAATCTATGTGCAAAACAGATTATCCAGGAGGCTGGGCTATATGAGGAGAAATGTGGCATCAGGATTGAAGGAAGATTCATCAACAATCGGCATTAGGCAGACAACACAACTCTGCTTGCTGAAATGAGGACCTGAAATGCTTGCTGCAGAAGGTGAAGGACTGCAGCCTTCAATACGGATTAAGACCCAGTATCAAGAAAACAAAGATTCTCACCACTGTGACAATTGGCAGGCAGCATCAAGACGGATGGTGAGGAGACTGAGATTGTTAACAGCTTTATTTATTTACTTGGCTCCCCCATCAACACTCTTAACACCAGCAGCCAGGAAATGAAAAGACATATCGCGATGGGAAAAGTCTGTTGTTAGAGACCTCACCAAAGTACTGAAGAGCAAAAACGTCACTCTGGAGACTAAGGTGTGCCTGATACAGGCCATGGTCTTTGCAATCACTTGCTATGCGTCAGAGAGCTGGACAATGACAGAAGGAGAATTAACGCTTTTGAGCTACGGTGTTGGAGAAGAGTATTGAATATATCCTGGACTGCTAAAAGAATGAACATGTTTGTCCTGGAGAGGTAAGGATTCTGAAGCTTTGTCTGACATACCTTGGACATGTTACAAGGAGGGACCAGTCCTTGGAGAGGGATGTCACACTTGGGAGGGTGGAGGGACAGTGCAGGAGAGGAAGACCCTCTATGAGATGGATTGATTCAGTGACTGGGGTAATGGGGATAGGTGTGTCAGAGATAGTGAGATTGGCATAGGATAGAGCAGGATTTAGGGCTGTTGTACATAGGGTCGCTATGAGTTTCAGGCGACTCGATGGAACATAACAACAACAAAGAGAAAGATGAAGCAATCATCTCCCATAAATATTTTATAGCTTCCGAAGCCCAACAGAGATTCTCCACAAGTTGGAATTAATACAAATGAATTAACATAAGTAGTTGGTGAGTATTAGTAATCATAAAATGAACACTGTGCTGGAAAATTTTAACACACAGTCATCCTAATTACTGATCAAACTACATACACAACTTCTAGGGTCTATAACATATTTAGACTATAATCAATTAGAGGTCAGTTATCCAGTTTTGTGGTCTAAAAATTCAGAGATCCAATGCTAAAGGCATTCAAAGATCTAGAAGAATCACTAAAAGGATGAAAAAAACCAACATTGGGAAGATGACACAAATTCAAATGGTTGGAGAAAAAAAATTTAATAAAAGAATAAATGAAACAATTCAAAGAATTCCAGAATTTTATCTGACAGCAAAGGTTGAGGACTCTATTTTACTACTTCTATTCCTTTGCTTTTACCAGAAAGCTTTAATGAAAGTAAAGATACATTGTTTTCTCAACTTTTGTATTTTCCTTAAAGCTCAGTTTTCTGATCTTTGAGGAAAAGGATATTATAATTCACCTCCCAGAACTCAGTGTCTGGCTCTCAAGAAATGCGTATGTAATGAACTTACTTGTTAAGTTTAATATTTTAAGTACCAAAATATATGTTATTAGATCTCTAATTCAAAGCAGACTTTAAAATTCAAATCAACAATTAATCTATTACTCTCTGACGTACAATTAGGAAAATAGGATATGTTTTATAATAATCTAACAGGGCAAAAAAGGAGAATAAAATATGAAACACAATTGCTAGATTTAAGAATAACGGAGGATGAGTATTAAAAGGGTGTATGAGTATATGGGATGGAGCAGTCACATAAATACAAACTTGTATGTTAACAGTGTTTAAACTTATATGAAATCAACTGAATATTTTGGATTTATCAAATATGAGTCATTTTCTTTGAAAGGACAGCATACCTGTAGCATCAGATGCAAGTTAGTCACTTTCTGGGCAGACCAGCCAGAATTTTCATCACCAACTTCAAACCAAGGTTTCATACGTTGAATATATGAGCCTTCTTTAAAAAAATTTTGATTTGAATTGTTGTTTTTCAACAAGTTCTGAAGCAAAATTAAACAATCTTCCACTACTATACCTGGAGGAAAAAGCAGAACAAGGCAGTGTTAAGACTGAGCAAACCTGGTAGAAATTTCAATCCCTAAACCTTTTTTAAAAAGGAACAGTCTCCAAGCTCGGAATTTTTCAGTACGTCAGGGCAGGCAAATTATTTTGATTTGTGACTGCCACTCCATGGGCCCAAGGTCATCTTTGCTACCTTCCTCCCCAGATTCCCTAGTGAGCTCTTAATTTCTATGTTCAGCTACCCTTTCACCTCTCTGTAAAGTATACTCTTTTTTCCCTCAATTTCAGTGTAAGAATAATTTCTTCAAGGTTAACTACCTTGACCAATGACTGGGTTTTGGTCTCTAAGTATACACTCTCACAGAATGCTGTTACTTATAAAAATCATTGTTATACAGAGTCTATCTTTTTCAGAGTTCCTAGATTTGAAAAAACCCAGAGTCTTTGTTTGAAAACAAAAAGTCTTTTCTCAAAAAGTGAAAGGTTGCAGATTTAAGTCCACGCTGACACTCCAGAGAAGAAAGGTCTGGTGGTCTCCTTCCAAAACAGCAGCCACTGAAAATCCTACCTATGGATCATAGTTCTACTCTGACATGCATGAAATCACCATAAATCTGAGTCAATCTGACAAGAACTGGGTTGCCAGGGGTTTGTTTTGAGGGAGGAGTGAGAGTGGTTCACCACTAGAATATAACACATGAAGAAAGGCATTTGTAAACCTCCTATTCACTTCTTTATCCTCGAAAGAGACAAAGACAAAGCCTCAGGAACACATATAATAGTAGGTAACTATTACATATTTTTTAATAAATGATCATATTTTGCTCTCTAAAGCACATGGCATTGTGGTTCCAACGTCTTTTTCTTGAAATTTCTTTTTCTCTTGGTTTTTAAAAACAAGCCTGGAAGCAGAAGTGGCATCCACTTCTGTAATAGCTTGCCTCCAGAAACCCTATGAACCTGGATAGAGGATAAAGGACATGCAAGCGTTGAGGACTCTCCTTTATAGGGTCGCTATGAGTCGCCTGCAACATGATAGCACTTAACGACAACTCTTCTATTTGTTCTCAGCCTCTTTTACCAATTCTGGCTCCTCTACAACCCTACTACTCACAACATTAGGTTCTGCCTAGCCTGCTTCCCTTTTCATTCTTCACTTAACTCTGAGTAACTCATCTAAATTTTCTTGCTGATCTCATTTTCTTTCCTCTATATGTATATATGTATAAAGGCTCCAAAATCTTTATCTCCAGCTAGATGTTATCTCTAAATTAGTACACCTATTCTTTATTACTGGCAAGATTAGATTTAATATTAAACAGGTCATTATGTCAAGACAGGCATTATGTGAAAATGAAGGAAGATCACATCAGCTCACAAAATGGAAGGTGATTACATAATTTTAAAACTTCCAAATTATACTTACATAACTGCAAAACCACTGGGAATCACGGCCTAGCCAAGATACCATAGAACCTTAACTATCATGGCTGGTGTTACTCTCATACTCTTGACTCACACTGGAATATTCATTACTGCCAGGTATATATACTCAGTAGATTTTTTCTTTACTATTGTCATAGAGAAGAAATGTCAAAAAATGAGCTGAGAAGTGATGAATATATAACTGACTATAGTTACAGATCCAAAAGTACAAATAAACTAAATTCAGGATATACAAACATAAGTTATTTTCTCCTTTTACCACAGTGCCTGCTGTGAAGCCGAACACTGTGACACTGATGAGTCAAATGTGAGAATGGTTACCCATGGTGGACAGTGTTTGGTGGAGCTTCCCAATTAAAACAAGCTTGGAAGCAGGAGTGGCACCCACTTCCATAATAGCTTGCCTCTGGAAACTATGAACCTGGACAAAAGTTATATAGGAAGTGTCCAGAACTTTCGTTCATAGGGTCACTATGAGTCGCCTGCAACTTGACAGCACTTAACAACAACCACCCCAGTGCTAGGATTTTAGCACAACATTCTCCTTAAAAAAAACTAAAGCAATGAATTTTTAAAAAAACTCAACAAAACAACATAAAGTAATTAAGAGCTGGCAGTTTAGTAGACTAAAACTGAAGAGAACATAGATATCTAGAGAGGTAAACAAGATAAACCTAACTGGTGGCCAGGAGTTCAATTCTCAATACTGGAAAAATCTAAAACATTCATGCTGACAGTCTGATGAGGGAAGGAAAAATAAATCAAAATTAAAGTCTTATAAAAAGGCAGGGAATCTAATAAAGAACAATCTATACAATACGCTAGAACCTCAGAGGACTTTATCTTTACAGCAATAATCACCAAAAATAACTAACTCTTGCACCCTGAGTGCGCACTGCCCAGTGGTTAGGGAAATCTCTACCCTTCAACTGGAGTGTTGTTATTGGGTGCCATCAAGTAAAATATGACTCACAGTGACCCTGTGAACAAAAGATCTGAACCCTGTTCTATCCTGTGCCATCCTCACACTTCCTGACAAACAAGTGGAGTAAGGGGGCCCAAATCAAATTGCACTCTGAAGGTATAGCAGAAATAAACACGTATTTCTCAGAAAGGAATTATCATCACTTTCGCCTATTTACTATAAATAATGCTATTAATCCTAACAACAGTCAGGAGCAGAGAACACTGCAAATCTACAAGGACCAAAAGAACAAAAGACTTAAAATACTAGAAATAATAGACAAGACTATGAGATTTTAAGTGAACTATATTCAAAGACATAAAAGGTAAACTGGAAATATATGCAAAGAATAAGAAATTATAAACTGCCTACAAAGAACTTTTTAAAAAGGAAAATTAAGAACTTATTTGATAAAGTTTAAGAGTAGATCAAGAATAGGTGAGGAGATTCGTGAAACAGAAAACAGGTAAGAAGCAAAAGCCCACAATGCACTCAGAAAGACAAAAAGCAAAACAACAGAGTCAAATCAGATGACTAGATCTGAGTTCAGAATTTCAGAAAGGAAGGAAATGTGACAGAAACTATATTTAAGGAGATTAGCTAAGCTTTGCCAGAAATAAGAGAAGATGTCAACCTAGACTCTAGCCACCCAACAAGGTCAAGCAGGATAAGTAAAAAAACAAACAATGCACACTTCAATGCATCATAATAAGTAAATGAAGGAAAGAATATAAAACATGAGTTCCCATTTCTCCCTCCACTTATATTCTCTAGATGTTAAAAGCCTGGTAAGTATAAATGATTTTCTTTAACCTAGCTCTTCATACTGTACCTCCATCACTGTTCCCCTCTTCCGTAATAATGTCTAGTAGTCTCTCAAAAGCATTCTCAAAAGCAACAATTTTCTGGATTGCACCATTACTTCTTGTTAGTGCTTGAAGTAGTAAGACGCCCTTGTAGAGAAGAAAAAGAATGATAAGCGGACTACAATTTTTATAAGACATTTTCAAGTTACTTTAAAAGAGAAAAAAAAAATCAAAGAATTTTAGAACTGGCCAGGCCTTTTAGAACATTATCATTTTTTAAGTTGATTTGTTTTTTTCCTTATGTTCCTAAGACTATACAATTTCCTGCTCTTAATTAATACATACATGCTTACATCCATTAACATCTTATTAAAAGTATACTTGTTGGTCACTAAAAGTAAGGTGGTACCAACACCTAATTTTGAAAATTAGTAATTAAAGGGATAAAATTTTATCTTTCAGTGTGCACTGTATGTTAGTGTGGTAAGTAGCAATTGTTGATGAAGTAAAGTTCTTCTTTATAGATTAGATGATAATAACTTAAAATATATTAGAATGAAAGAACTAGAGAAATGATCACTTTATAACTCCTAACAGAATACATGCTTGAATAATGCTCATTAGCAGATGAAACAATTAGATATACAGTTAATAGAGAGCTTCGTACTGCAGGAATCTATCACCCCGTGAGGTGACTTCACAGATCACTGAAGATGAGACAACATATACTGACTGTTCCTAGGAATTGAGATTAACCCGATGGAAATGAGTTTAGTTTTGGATGCACTACAAAATTAAATAAACCCCATCACCTAGGAAATATTCTAGCCAAAAGCTGGACTTGATCCTAATCCAATTATTAGAATTAACAGATGGAAGACATATGAGATGTCTCTGCCCATTAAGATTTACAGCCTTGGAAACCCAATGAAGGGTGACTAGAAGCAGGAACTGGCTTGATAGCATTTAGAGCGAGTAAGGAAACCTGAATGTGGAGTTATTTTATTTAGTCTGAGGACCAAGAAAACCACCAAATTTGTTAAATTAGTTAAAAAGGGAGTGTGTGTGTGTGTGTGTGTGTATGAGAATATTCACACATGTATTTTCTTTTTCTAAATTGCACACTGAAATGTGCACGAATAAATTGTAAACTAAATTGAATGCATTTAAACACTCTGGCCAAGAAAAGATGATACTGAGGCAAAGGTGGGGGAGGAATTAGATGATAAAGAAAAATCTTGATCACGGATGGTTTTGGGAGTTTCTTCCCTCTACATTTATGTGTGTTATATTTCTCACAACCAAATAAAAGAATGGAAGTAGTCTGTCACTCAGAAGAAATTGGTAGTTGCTTTGCTGGGTTTTTTCCAAACATTTGGTGTACTTGCAGTGCATCTATAATAAATGACAAATAAATTTACTAAGTTCATGGTCTCCCTTACAGCAAGCATACTGGATAATATTCTCCAAGATTTTGTTTGCATCTATCACTCTACCAAATCCAACAGTAATAAAAGAGGAAGTTACAGCTACTCTGAAGGAATCTGCAAAAAATAAGACCCCAGGAATTGATGAAATACCAACTGACATATTTGAGCAAACAGATGCAGTCCTGGATGTGTTCACTAAGTTATGCCAAGAAATTTGGAGAACATTTACCTGGCCAACTGACTCAAAGAGATCCATATTTATTCCCATTCCCTATAAATGTGATCCAACAGAATGTGGAAATGATCTAACAGTAGTTAGATCATTAATTTAGTAGTTTTACATTAATATCACCTGCAAGCAAAATCTTTAAAATCTTGCTGCTGAAGATCATCTGGAAATAACTAGAAACTGTGGTATAGTGTAATATATAAAGTAACTGACAGTGTTGTGTTCACAAACAAATCCAAATTAATAGGTTTATTTAAACCAAAGAAAACACAGCCATTAAATACATGGAAAAAACCCCAAAACTCAAGTTGTAATAAAAATGTAGGTTAATCTCTAATTCCATCAATTAATAAAAATGAACATAATTATTTTTCTTGAAATAAAAACTGAGAAAGATAAAGAATAATTATTTTTTAAATGACTATTATTATACAATATCTGAAAATTAAAATGGTACTAAAATAGGCCCCCAAAAAGGTGATTTCTCTATTCAATGATTCATGTGATACTTTTTTAAATTAAAGGTCAAGGAAACAGAATAGAAAACAAGATACATAGGGACATTTAGTCCAGGATGCTCAAAAGTACTTATAGATGGGGTCTCATTTAAATAATTTTTTTAAAAAATATTTAAATAGTAAAGAACAAAAAAAGTCTTCATAACTTATATTCCCATATAACTGGAATATCTATAAAACTGAGTCAATAACTTACAAAAAAATTTAAAAATTCTATCTGTGTGACTAATGAAGAACATGTTACTTTGTTTTTGTGGACCCTGTGTTTCTCCTCATAAATACAGAACTTGAATTAGCTTAATATATTTTAAAGCATGTAACTTTATAATATTTTTCTAACTATTGTCTAAAATATTACAATTTTAACCCAACTGAAATTGAACAATAATGTAAATTTTTCAAGTAACAGAATAATGTGGCATCGATACAAAATATTCAAACTTCCACGCAAATTTTACAGAATAAATAAAAATAATAAAATAATTCCAGAACAAATCATTCTTCACAATCAAACAGAAAATATTTTTTAAAATCCTTCATATTTTAATCAATCAAGTAAAGATGAGAGTTCCAAATATTACATTTTCTTAAATTTGTACAGTTCAGAGTGTGGGAGACTTTTTTCTACTCTTTGAAGGAAAAGGAAAGATTCTGGAGAAAACAATTTGGAGTCAATAAAACCTTTTAGAAGAGGATGGAAAAAAAACCCTAAACTTGTACAAGAAATAAATTTGTATAGTAAAATGGTTTGTTTAAAAGGTTGTCATTTACCCATTTAATAGGTTTTGTTTCCTTGTCAAATACCAATTGGCCATACATAGATGTGTTGCTTTTAGGCTCTTGATGTCCTTTCATTAGTTTCTGCGTCTAACATGTACCAATACCATGCTGTTTTGGTTTCTATGGCCATATAATATGTTTTGAGATAAGAAAGTGCTATTTTTCCCACTTTATTTTTATTTTTCAGAAGAGTTTTGCTTATCTAAAGTCTCTTTCCTTTCCAAATTAAACTGCAAATTGCCTTTTCTATCTCTTTAAAGAATGTGTTTGGTATCTGTATTAGGATTAGATTGAATCTGTAAATTCCTTTCACGACGATTATCATTTTTACATGTTGAGACTTCCTATCTGAGAACAGGGACTATATTCCCATTTAGATAGGTCTCTTATTGTTTCTTATAGTTGTGTTTAGTAGTTTTACAAATGGTGCTAACCTGGATCTCTACCTGCAGAAAACTGAGACAGAATCCACATTTCACACACAAAAATCAATTCAAGGTGGACCTAAAACCATAAGGGCAAACTTAAAAGCCCTGACCGATGGCATAAATAGGCTTGCAAATACAACCAGAAATGCACAACAAAGAGACCCTGTGTGCATCAAAACTTTTTCCCAATAGGGTGAAAAGAAAGTTAACATAAAGAGGAAAAAACATTTAGCAATGGTCTCAAAGCTAAAGATTACAAAATATAAGGGGGGAAAAAGACTGAAAACCCAATAATAAAATGAATAAAAGACATGAAAAGGCTCTTCACAAAGGAAGACACTGGGCTGGCAAAAGACAGACACTGAGCGGGCAAAAGACACATGACAAAATTTTCAAATCACTGGCAATCAGAGAAATGTAAATCAAAACTATAATGAGACACAATCTCAGTAGCAAAGTTTAATAAGACATCAATCAATAAATGTTAGAGAAGATGTGGAAAGACTGGAATTCTCATACACTCTGTGTGGGATTGTAAAATGGTACAATCACTCTGGAAGGCAGTCTGATGTGACCCAGTTATTCCACCACTAGGAATATACCCCAAGGAAATAAGAAAACAGACACAAATGAAGATATGCCTATGATCATAGCAGAATTATTCATAATAGCAAGAAAATGGAAACAGCCAAATGTCCATCAACAAATGAACTGACCGGTATATTCACACAATGGAATACTATGCAGCACTATGGAACAACAATTTTGTAACACTATATAACGTGGGAGAGTATGGAGTATTACACTGAGTGAAAAAACTGTCTCATAGGACAAACACTGCATAAGACCATTACTGTAAGAACAGAAGGATAACTGAGCAAGATACATATATATGTTCAAAAGGAAAAGGAGAAAGGAAGAAAGGAGTAGAAAAAGTAGAAAGAGGAAAATCACTAGGATAGCTGAGATGAGAAGGAAAAGGGGGGAGGTGAAGGAATAGGAAAGATTTAATGTGGACATGAAGGGTAGATAAATAGTAATTAATGGTGTGAAATACAATGAGTATGAATGACTGTATGGTGCACAAAATGCATGAAAGAAATACAATGTAGATAAGAGATTGTATAAAACACAATGTACATGCATGAAACACAATGTATATGAATGATTGTATGAAAACCAATACAAATATGAGAAAGGAAAAATTGTTTGCTTAAGTTAAAACACTCCCTACATAAGAAAAAGAAAGATATACTGTGGCCTCCAACATAACTTTTAAAAGTCTAAAAGACTGATCATTAATCACAACTTTCCAAATTTAACTTTAATAAGGATAAAAAAGTTTCATCTGTAAAGACAAATAAAGGACTACACATTCTTGAACTCTTTTTGCAAACTGAACTTACATCATTACGTATAACTTCCCTGGAATCTGCTAATAAATCCATCAATCTTGAAACACCTAGAAAAAGCAAACGTGAAAATTCTGACATGCTAAAAATACACATATTAATTCAAATTACAAATAATTTATTAACAAATCATTTTAGTCTTTCTCTAGAAAATTACTTTGCTAATCAAATGACATAAGGAAGGCAAATCACTTACCCATGGGGCTGACTAAAATAATCTGCTGCACCTGAGGGCCTAGATGTTTTAAAAGAGAAGTAAGAAGCTTTACACCAGGCCAACGAACGTGGAAATCAAACTCCTGTAATGTAAACATTTACAGTATTTAATAATTGTAGTTCACACTTACAAGAAAAACAAAGAATGAAAGTTTAATAAACTTCCAAAGAGTGAATGTAGAGAGGAAAAAAGGCAATAAAAAGAAAAGGGAAAAATAACATAAACTGATGATGAAATGAAAATGTTAATGACTGGAAAAAACAGTATTTGGTAAAAGTTAGAAATACGTTAAAAAGTAGACTATCATTATACAATGGTCATTACCATTATGAAACTAAATGTCTATGAATGAAAACCAACTAAAAGAAAATTTAAAAAGTAGACAGTATTTTGGGAGGAGTGATAGGGAATGGCAAGAGACACACTGACAAAGGAGATTAATCAGAACTGGCTTTCACAAGCACTGTGGCAATTGGACAACTAAAAAAAGACATGGGGGGGGAGAAGAACGAACTGGGGATGAGGGTGAAGAAAACAGTGCAACAATGAATGAATGAAAACCCAAAAATCTCTGTAAATGTTCATTAAAACGAATAAAATTTAATTTAAAAAAAGTAGACAGTATTTTAATAAATTATATTTTTCCTTAGAAATACATATTTATTTCTTGTCTCTGTTATAATAAACTCACCACCTTAAAAATGTATGCACATAATGCTTCTTAACAGCAGGAAAAGTGAACTAAAAGAATGCTCATTAAGATGACAAAAATAGCAAGAGTTCCTAGTTACCTCCAATAAGGATAGCAGGAGAGTGATATTTTCTGGTTGCTTAATGAATATTTCTGTAAACTGGCTTCCCAAGTCATCACTTTGTCTTGTGGAATTTTCTTCTGTAAAATTTAAAAATAAAATATTTCAACATGGTGCTTTAGAACATCTTCAACATGATCTAATGTTACTTTGAAGCTTTAAAGAATCTTTTTCTTGAAGGAGTTAAATAGAAATAATATTTTTCCAGTATTTAAACAGTCCAATACTTTAACAGTATGAATAGTAGCAATATAACAATTAACGGAAGGCAATTAATTCCTAAAAATAACTTTCAATGCCATTTAAATAATTTTTATTCTTCAAATGTCTATAGTCTTCAAATGCAAGACAAATTTTCACATTTTCTCAAAGTAATAGTTAAGGGCTGAAAGAAACTCTTTGGGGTAACAGAAAAATTCTAACTCAACATTATAATGTTTATGCTGTTATATCTACTTATGAAAACAAACAGGGCTATAAAACTCAAAAGGGTAAATCTAATTTATATAAACTTACTCTTAAAATGCTTTCAAAACTATTACTAAATATGCAGTTTTTGGTGATGATTAGTGCCACCGTATTAAATATAGGAATTAAAATTAGATCAATCACCCGTAGAGTCTTCAATCTTTTTAAATTCTAATATATATAGTTACTGAGCAATAAAATCAGAATTTGTAAATCCACTGATGCTTAAGTTTTTAAATTACTTGTTTACATGACTGTCAAAACATTTAAAGTATTAAAAATTGAAGCAACTGCCATTGCAAGTAATCACTTAAGAGCTGCCAATATTATCAACAGTATTTTAATAATGGCAAATACATCACTCACTGACCCTTCGCCCATACCAGACACTGATAACAAATCACATCTGCTAAGTATCAGAATCCATTTCCACATTGCTCCAGGCAGTGACTATAAACCAAAGGAGTTGGAAGGCAACATCAAACCTACTCAGTATTCTTAGATATTTTTAAATGGGGCTAGAGTGTTGGAAGTAGAACCAGCAGACAATAAAAAATGCAAAGGAATTCAAAGTTGTAGTTATGCTCCATGGAATCAGAACTAACTCAGAGCTATTTAACCGTCCAGAAGATTGTCAAAGGTTGTAACTCGCACAGGAGAAGATTGCTCCTCTTTTCTCCCTCAGAGCCTGCTGATAAATTCCAATCACCTGCCTTAGGATTTGCAGCAAAATTCCTTACCACTAAGCCATCAGAACCCCAAGGAATCCAACAGGTGACAGTAAAAACAAGGAACTGGTTGCCATTAATTCCAACTCATAGTAACCTGCTTCCATTTAATTATTTGTAGAAGAAAATGAAGAAACCGAAGCCAGGAATGCTTTTCAATACTGATTATGAACCCAAATAGCCTCAGTTTTTCCTTCAGAAATTCATATAATTCAACAAAATAAAATTAAATGCTGTTAAGTCATAACTGATTCAGCACAAATGACCCTCCAGCATGTTCAAAAGGCTACAAACTGCCCATAAGTAGACTGCCATCTTTCTCCTGAGGAGCTGTTGGTGAATTCAAATCACCAGAAAGGTATGACTTTGGGGTTAGCATTTAGATTTTCATTTAAATATGCAATTTAAAAATTCCACTGAAAAAAACTGAGGACTTTTAATTAATAATATTTCGCTTAATCATTTCTTATATCACACGAAAAGAATTTACTATTTAGAATCTTAGAAGTAAACTATTAAAACAACTGTGAGATATCTCACTACAGCAACAATAGTAAAGTTCAGCAGGGCAGCATACAGCAAATGCTAGTGAGGATGTAGAGAGATTAGAATTCTTATTCACTGTTAGTGGGTTTGCAAAACAGTACAACCACTATGGAAGGCAGTCTGGCGCTTTCTCGAAAAACTGGAAATAGTAACACCACCATCTGACCCATCAATTCCACTACTGGGAATATACCCTAAAGAAATCAGAGCCACAACTAAAAACAGATGCATACACACCTATGTTTATTGCTGCATTATTCAAAACAGAAAAGCGAAGGAAGCAACTCAAGTGCCCATCAATAAATGAATGGATAGAATAACTATGGTACATCCACACAATAGAATACTATGTAGCATTACAATGAAATAGTAAAACATTACACAACATGGGGGAACTTTGAGGACATTATGCTAAGTGAAATATCTCAGTCACAAAATAATTAAATATTGCATAACACTACTGTTATAAAAGAGGACAGAAGTGGGGGAGGTGGGAAAGAAATCGCAAAAGAGAGATAATGTACACTGCATTAGAACAAATGAGAAGAACTGTCTGAAAAGAATATCTCATATATATATATACACACACATACATATATATGTTGTTGCTGTTGTTGTTATGTGCCGTCGAGTCGTTTGCGATTCATAGCGACCCTATGTACAACAGCCCTAATACCTGCTCTATCCTGTGCCAATCGCATTGCCTCTGACACACCCATCCCAATTACCCCAGTCACTGAATCAATCCATCTCATAGAGGGTCTTCCCCTCCTGCGCTGTCCCTCCACCCTCCCAAG